AGGCTGAGAGCATGTGACTTGCCTAAGATAACCCAATGGATTTCATGGCTGAGTGTGGAATCCAACCCTGGTTTTGAGTCCCAGTCCAACACTCAAACCACTACACTACACTGGCCTTACTTGTGTATAAAATTGAACTGAACAGTTATGCAACATCCATATTCATTCAAGGGCTGTCATGACATTGCAATGTCTGGGCATCTGTTGAGTGGAGTGAGTTATGTGCCATAGTCTAACGTGCAATGGGCACTGATGTACATGAGGGCACTCCCTGATGCACATCCAGACACCCATTAGGAACTGCCAGAGCACAACAAGGTGCCCAATGTGCACCAGAAGTGCCCAGTCTGTGTATTGGAGCAGTCTTGTCAGTGTCTGCATGTGCATTTTTGCAATTCACAAACATGGTTCTGTTACGTATCTATGGATCCATAAAGTTACAAAACAGAGTCTGTAATGTAGGATCTCAGAGACTGTTCTTATTGATTATTGATTTATATCAGGGGTAGACAACCTAAGGCCTGGGGGGCAGATGTGGCCCCCTGAGACCTTTGGACCAATCCGAGGCCGGTCCTGCCGCTGCCCCCTGCCGCCGCCGCCACCCACCATGATGATATTGATTATTGTTGTTATTACTTGTTCTTGGGGTTTTCTTGGCAAAATCTCCACAGGAGTTTTGCCATGGCTTTTCTGGGGCTGAGAGAGTGTGCATGCATTTTTTTTTAATTTTATATATATATATATATATATATATATATATATATATATATATATATATATATATTTGGTGCTTCGGCCCCCCAATCATCTGAGGGACAGCAACCCGGCTCCCGGCTTACAAAGTTTGCCTAGCCCTGATTTATATCCTCTCTTTTCCCCAATAGTGGGACTCAGGGCAGCTTACAAAAGTGAAAACACTTTGGATAGTTCCAGGAAAGTTTGAAGTAAAAGCTGGAGTAGATTCACTGCCCTACTGACATGTGCTTCACAAGTTGCCACCGCCTGCCTTTGCATATGTGAATGAAGAGCAGAGAGGGAGAAAGGGCTGTTGAAATCCCCTTCAAGAAAATGTCCTTGAAACAAGGTTGGGGAGCAGAATGAGGGCTCCCATTTCAGCACATTGACACAAATGCATGCACTCCAACCTTGCAAGTGTCCTAAGGAGTGTTGATTTAGGTCAGTTTTCAATTATCCAAGAGGGGTACTCTATTCACTTTTGCAATAGAGGGAAATGTAATAATAATAATAATAATAATAATAATAATAATAATAATAATAATAATAATAACAACATAAAATGGGGGGAAAATAGAGAAATGCAGAGTGGTCTTAATAATCTTTCAGAGAGAAAGAGAGAGAGAGAGAGAGAATGAGAAGAGTGGGGGAAGGAGAAAGAGAGTGTGTTATTAGTGCTGTCAATTTAGCCTTGAATGTTATGGTATGTGTGTCACTAAAAGAGACAGAAGCTATTATTGAAATGAGATTAGAATCATTTTGATACATCAACAGCAGCATTACAGTTGCTAACATTTCCATCTGAAATAGGTGACATTGATGCTATACAATCAACAATGCCATTGGGGATAGAATATGGAATACAGAAAGACTGGATTGTTTTAGCATGCATTGATTTACCGTCAGCAGATTCTGATAAGGTGTTGAACTAATGAAGCTTCCCTCATCCAAGCATCTCCTGTCTGTCTATCCATCTTTCAGTGTATCCACTCCAGAGGTGGGCCAACAGCAGATCTAATGGCCACCACAACCTAGAGTTTGGAGATGACAAGTTACAAGCAACTTATACAACTTACATGTGGGTGATGGTACCTCTCCAGAGTTACTTCTCTTGGTAATAACGGCATGATGAAGTTACATTTCAAAACTCATGTAATGAGTGGGAACTAAGTTACTTTATGGGCATTGTTTTTGATACTTTTAACATTATATTTGAAGGGCATTTAAGAAATTTTTGGAGGCATTCAGGAAAGAATTTTCCAAGCTTTGCTCCAAAAATCCTCAGGATTTTGTAAAAACGATAAAATCATCAGGCACATGTGACAAAAGGATAAACATCACCAAGTTGCTTTTGAAATAGCACAAGGAATGATGGCCATGGATTGATTTGCAAATGCTATAATGCCAACAGGAATGAATTCCCCTGGAAAAAAAATCCAAAAACTTTCCAAGATCTATTATCTCTGATCAGACTTTTGGACTTTTTTATTTGTTTCCACTGTCTCTAATGTTTTGAACTCTCACTTTCCTGATGAAGTGCTCCAGAGTGCTTGACAGATTCTACACTTTTGTGACAATCTGATGAATGTAACAATGCTATTATCCAGGGGTAGGCAACCTAAGGCCCAGGGGCCAGATGTGGCCCACTGAGGCCTTTGGACCGGCCCCAGGCCGGTCCTGCCGCTGCCCCCGCCCACCATGATGATATTGATTATTGTTGTTATTACTTGTTCTTGGGGTTTTCTTGGCAAAATCTCCACAGGGGTTTTGCCATTATGGCTTTTCTGAGGCTGAGAGAGTGTGCATGCATATATATATTTATTTTTTTAAAAA